TTAGAGTTCAGAGACTTCATCTTTTTGAATTAGAATAACTCATCATTGGTTTGATCCGATGGACCCCTAGTTTCTAAAAGGATAACATGCCAATTTAAATTACCTTGAAGTAAATGTTTCATTTTGAAAATTGAATCAACCTATCTGATGTTGCCTACTGGAGTGATGGCTAATGAGTGTCTTTGGGGAATAATGAAAATGTTTTAAAATTGATTATGGTGATGGTTATACAGTCCTGTGAATACACTAAAATCCATTGAATTTTACACTTTAAATGGATGAATTGTCTGGTATGTGCATTTACCTCAATAAAGCTGTTGTAAAATGGCAAAACCATTTACCAACACATGACTAGTTTGAATATAGCATGAGTTATGCATGGAAGCAAGAAAAACACTAAACACTCTCAGGAAGGGAAAAAAAACAGACCAACCCTGAGTGGCCTGGGAACAGAAGGCTTAGTAAACTGGCACTTCCTTAATTCCATCTTCATCAATTCATCATACAAGCATTTGTTCAACATTTATTGTGTTCCAGGTTTGGGGACAGAAGATGACCAAGACAAAACTTGTGCCTCTGAGGGCCCCAGACCACAACACCCAAAGGATTGGTGGTAGGAAGAAGACTGCAAAGGGTAGGAAAGCATTTTTTGGTTTGGTTTTGAATTGGCTGTGGTCTTGTTCACTGTTTGATTCATGAGGTCACTGAAGAAGTCAGTAGTTGGGAAAGAAGTGAGAATGGAGAGAAGGGAGGGCACACATAAGACAGCCCAGCTAACATGACAGAGGACGGCTTGGTGAGGGTTGGTGAACGTGTGCTGCTGTGGTCCCAACTGTCATTTCCTCTTCATGCTCAAGTAGCCAAATATTATGTGTATTAGTTGTGCTCCCAACAGGAAAGAGGGCATACTCAGAGTCATCCAGGAGGGTTAATTTCTAAAGGGACTAATCACAAATTACCTGGCATGTAGGTAAACTGCCAGGATGGTGAGGTATGTGGACTCTGAAGCAGTAGAGACATCTCTACCCCTAGATCTGACGGGAGCAGGAAGGGAAAGGTCACCTGGATACTAAAGAAGAGAGGCTTGCAGTGATGGCCTGTCAAATTTCAGATATCTACCTCCCAGGGGGTTTGGGTTTAAATACCTTGAATTCACTGTCTTCCTTCTACTGTGACCAGACCCAGTTGGAAGCTGGAGCTTGATGCTGGAATATACAGCAGTCATCCTTGCTGGGCAGAGAGTAGTGGTGACATAGATGGATCTGTATAAAGTCTGGAGGGGAAAATCAAAAATCAATGGCCAAAAAAAAAAAAAATTAAAGCAGTGTCCCTAGGAAATAATGGTTGCTATAGCTCCAGAACCAATTCTGTATGATTCTGCACTCTTCACTCGCCTGCTAATTCCATCAGCATTGCCTTTAGCACACTCTGCAATTGTGATCAGCGTCCTCTAAGGCACTCACTCTGAAAAGGAATGATATGGTGAAGATAGATCAGTCAGTTCAAGGAAGATACTCTCTTGGAACATCTCCTCCCCGCCTACTTCCTTCCTGTTCCACCCCATTGTGGAATAGTGTTACCTTTCTCTGGAGAAGACAAAGGGACTTTCTTATTTTTAATTTTCAAGAGTGAGGGCTTCCTTTTTGATTCAAATATACATTACTTTATCATTGTCAACTAGCATTTCCTGAGTAATCTTAATATACAAAGCACTAGATTATATGTAAGATAATTCTAAAAGGGACCCACAAAATTTTATTTTATCTTTATTTATTTTTAAAGATTTATTTATTTATTCATACAGAACTGGGGTACAAGCCAGAAGTGCAGGGGTAGTGAGAGGATTCACCAGAGACAGAGTGGGGAGCAGAAAAGGCAGATCGACGAAGTACACTGCTGAGGGGAGCAGCGGGCGGGTCAGGAGAGGTCTGCTGCGCCATGTGGATCACCTTTGGAGTGGGGATTGAACTCGCTTGCAGTGCTGTGTCCTAACCCTTTGTGCCACCAGGGAGGGCCCCCCACAAAATTTTAGAACTAGATGGAACCTTAGAGTTCATCCAATAGACCACTTTCAGTTTGCACATGTGGACATTGAGATCTAGAACAGACACACAAATGCTCCAAAGTCACCTGCCAAGCACAACCAGGATGCTCCTGGTTGCATCCTATCCTTACCAGCATTCCACAATTCAGTACCAACCTCCAGAAGCCCAGTGAATTTTGTCTTCTCGATTTGCCTCTTAATCACTCCACCTCCTAAAGTGTGAGATGGAGTGACCTGTAGGCCCCCTCATCCTCTCATGGCAACCACTGTCCACTTTCTGTCTCTTTGGATTTGTCTATTCTAAACAATTCATATCAATGATATATACAGTATATGATCCTTTGTGATTAAATCCTTTCACTTTACATCATGTGCTCAAGATTCATACAAATCATGGCATACATAGTATAATATACATACATAGAAAGTACACGTACTTTTCCTTTTTATTATGACAAAATAATATTCCACTGTGTAGACAGATAATGTTTTATTTATCTCTTCATCCTTTGAAAAACAATTGGACTTTTACTGAAGGTTAATAAAAATGTGTGACTGGCAAAAGGCAGTGGGCCGGGGGGAATCCCCATTCACAGTATTTGCTGATTTTCATGCTCAAAATACTCCCATCATGGCTGATTGCAAACTAGTGACATCACTAAACAAGGAATTGAAAGGATATGCTAAGACAGGCGCTGGTGAGTCTCAGCCAAGCCTATCATCCTATCATCCTACTTGCCGATTTTTGCTGAATACATGCGGGGTTACAAAGCTGTGGCTGTACACCTACTATTACGTTAGGATAGAGGTAATGATAATAATAAAAGTAATCCAACCTTTGATATTTATCAGACACTTTTAGTGTATCAGGTACTGTGCTAAGCATTTCTTCCTTTATTTAATTCCTGAATATGACTCACCTTCCTAGCAGTCGAAGCTGCAGACTTCCAATATTCTATGGTTGATGCACTGGCCCTCGCTGGTCTCCCTGCTGTTTCCTAAATACTCCAAACATTCCACCTTCCAGCTTTTGCACTCATTCTGCCTGGTCCACTCATCCCCCAGCGCCTTCCCTCATGCCTGCCAGGTCTTTGCTCAGCTGCCCCTTTTCAGAAAGGCCACTCCGCCATCGCATCCCTTTCTCCTTTGCCAAGTTTTGTCTTCGTAGCACTTATCACTGACATTATTTATTCTGTATATTATTTTTGAGTTGCTTATTGACTGTCTTCCCACCAAAATGTAAGCTCTATGAGGACAGAGTCTGTTTTGTTGGAAGCTTGTTGCATTCCCAGGGGCAAGGCCAGGCCCTTCATCCTGCTGGCTTAGCTGGGAAATTTGGAATTTTCAAACAGTTGCCTCTCTTTGTCCTGCCTGCTCCTTCGGTACAGTCAGAAGAATATTTAGAAAAAATCCTGCATCTCTGTTATGACCCAAATCTTGGCTCAGATAGGACTTGGCTGACACAGTGGAGCACAGGCTGGTGATGAGGCTAAGAAGGTGCCCTCCTCTGAAGCCAGATAGATTCACATGCCAGCTCTGGCATCAGTTTTGCACTTTGGGTTAAGTGACTCAACGTACTAGATTTTTTTTCCACCTTGAAATGGAATAATAAGAGCTCCTAGCTCCCAAGTCTGTTAGGAGGATTAAGTTAACATGTCAGTTTAAAGTGATCAACACAAAGCAAGTCTCAGTGCCCCTTGTCTGCTTAGCTCCGAGGACCTCCTCCAGCAAGCCTTACTTACTGGGTGAATACCTGTGTCCACTGACATGTGCAATCCGGGGAACAACCACCACCTGCTTCCTCTGCAGGTCTTTTTTTATCACCTCCACTTTAGCCTTCAGTAAGAGCACGCCTAGATTTTGTACTGCTGTCCCAGGGAATGAAATGCTTCAGCTTTCGTCTCCACAAAAGAAGAGACTCCTGGGCTTCAAGAGGAATGGCCTGTTCCTCTTTTTTGGCAAATCACCTGAGCTTAACCACTAGGCTTAGAAAAGGCCCCAGGGAAACCTGGTGCTATTCTGAGCCTAACCAGCAGAGACTAGCTAGAACTCAAGCATCCCGATGGCAGGGAAAAGAACAGCTTCCTGTAGAGGAGAAATCCTTACTTACTACCTTTGGTGGTTTTGCCAGTTTTGCCAGATTAAGTGGAGAATAAGGAGATGGCAAGTAGTTTGTGAAAAGCAGAGAAGCCACCCAGTGGTGTGCTGGACTAGCGTGGAAAAAAGACTGCTCCCGAAACCCTCAAATCTACTTTGCTGTGGTTCCAGCTAGGTAGGGTCCCTAATCTCGTGACACTTTTACCCCCTCCCTCCACCTGCCCTTCCACTCCCAACCCCAGGTCCTTGAGTGCCTTAACCGTCATGGTTTGATCTGTTGGGGGAACTTCATTTACTAATTTCGGGTAAATCCAGTTCCCTTAACATTTACAGAATGCCCACAAGGAGCTGGGCAGTATGAGCAGGCAGTCCCAGAAATTCTAGAAACCAGTAATCCCCTTTCACATTCCAGAAAATAACCCCGCCCGCCCGTCTCTGAGCCTTCCTCTTTCCTGGGAGTCAGTTTCTGAGTCCTACCCTAGTAAAAAAAAAAAAAAAAATCAATACCTCATTCTAGGACTCCCGCGGGGGCCTCATTGAAGCGCAGAGGATTAAGGGGCGGGGAGTCGGGAGGGCTGGGGATGTGGGGATGAAGAAGGGGGAAGGAACAAGGTGCGTTTTCCCTCTCAGCCTGTTCCAGGTAAGAGTCCGCCAGCCCGCGTTCCCAGGCGCGATTCCTGGCCATCCCGAGGCTGTTCCAAGAACCGCCTGGCACCCTGGGCTGTGGACTCTGGCTGGTCCCGCTAGCGCGTCTCCTTCCGCCCCTCTCTCCTCCCTCTGGGATCGGTGCCTCACTCAGGGGCGTGTCCTGCCCTACCTCCCTTTCACAGTGGTCCACTCTTCAGTTACAGCAGCGGCGGCGGCGGCAGCAGCCCGAGCAAGAGCCACGATCGCTCGGGTTTCCAGAACTGTGGAAGGGCTGTGGCAGCGGAGCAGCTCTGTAGGGCACCTGTGAGGAGCAGAAGTAGCAAGACGAGGGGGCGGGGAACGTGCCAGCTATCTCTGCACCCCGAGGAAGGGGGCACCTCCCAGTTGGAACCACTGCTTGGCAGAATCTCAGCACCCAGCTGGGAACTGATGGTAGGAGACATGAGCAAGACCAGCTAGAGGACTGGGTCAGGTCAACGTTCGGCCCCCGTGTAGAGAGGCACCGAAAGCGGTTTCTGGGGCCATGACAACCTCACGCCTGGACTTTGGGGAGGTGGAAACTTTTCTGGACAGGCACCCAGAGTTGCTTGAAGATTACTTGATGCGGAAGGGCAAGCAGGAGATGGTGGAGAAGTGGTTGCAAAGGCACAGTCAGAGTCAGGGGACTCCCAGTCCAAGGCCCACTTTGGCTGGCACCGGTAACTTGGCTCAGGGTGGTGGCAGAGGTGGCAGCAACATTGGTGGTGGCACTGGACCAAATGGCTCTGCCAACAGTCAGCCCTCCCCTGGTAGTGGGGATTGCGGTGGGATTCCCTTGAGTCCCAGCTGGGCCAGTGGCAGCCGTGGCAATGGGAGCCTGCAGCGGAGAGCCTCTCAGAAAGAGCTCAGGAAGAGTTTTGCTCGCTCTAAGGCCATCCATGTGAACAGGACCTACGATGAACAGGTGACTTCCCGGGCCCAGGAGCCACTGAGTAGCATGCGGCGGAGGGCGCTTCTCCGGAAGGCCAGCTCCTTGCCGCCCACCACGGCCCATATTCTTAGTGCCCTCCTGGAATCAAGGGTAAATCTGCCTCAGTATCCCCCTACGGCCATGGACTACAAGTGCCACCTGAAAAAACATAATGAGCGTCAGTTCTTCCTGGAACTGGTCAAGGATATTTCCAATGACCTTGATCTTACCAGCCTGAGCTACAAGATCCTCATCTTTGTCTGCCTTATGGTAGATGCTGACCGCTGCTCTCTCTTCCTGGTGGAAGGGGCAGCTTCTGGCAAGAAAAGCTTGGTCTCCAAGTTCTTCGATGTGCATGCAGGAACCCCACTGCTACCTTGCAGCAGCACAGAGAACTCAAACGAGGTGCAGGTCCCCTGGGGCAAAGGTATCATTGGCTATGTTGGGGAGCATGGAGAAACGGTCAACATTCCCGATGCCTACCAGGTAGGACTTTGCATTTCTCCCCTCCAGAGCCCTATTGGCTTGGGAACAAACCTTCAGCTACCCTTTGGCCTCCAGAAATACATTGATTTAAACTCTCTGCAACATAGGTCTTGTTATTTAAATTCCTTCTGAGTTTAAACTAGTTAGTATGTTTGTTCTAGAATCATTTTTGATGAAATGGTCTTTTCTGGACTCACAGTGGCTTGTGGAAAATTCACATACCACAGGACCACATTGCATCCAGTAACAATAGCACATGTTTGTCTCTGAGGACACTTTGCCTCTATGAATACCAGTGCCTGGCTTTAGAATCATTTGTAAGGTGCTAGAAAATGTCTACTCCAGAATTGCCCTGTTAGTCTGAAGAAAATGGGCTTGTTGGTATTTCTGATATCTTTTTTGGGGATTGTAATGCATTTCATTCTCACCCCGGGTTAGAAAGGGAAGAAAATAACTACTACTCTCTTTCCTTGTCTGGTTTAGAGTTGCATGAATTTCAAGGCAGGGAAGAAGAGGAAAGAGGAGGAGAGGAAATTGTTCAGGGGAATGATTCCGACCCATTTGTGCTTTTTAAGACCTATTTTTAACTGGTTTTGGTTTCTAGATTTTAGTTGTTGTGGATAAAAACAAATAAATATTTGTTTTTAGATTGAAAAACAGCATTATCTGAAGTCACCTTTTGAGTAAGCTAGGTTTTAGTTTGTGAAACAAATAAAAAGATACTTTACTTTAGCAACTCCCAAAGCAATCAATAGGGAAAACATGCTAGTTTCAGATGGAAAAGGAAACACAGAATGCTATTTTGTGGTATTTCCAGGCCTTTCATTATCACAGTGATTTGAACTTGACATTAGATTCTGGGTCTGAAAACCAATCTGTTCTAATTTCTTCAGTATCTATTCAATGAACATAATAAAACTAGAAGTCAACTCTATGAAACTTCTTCAGGGAGAACAGTTCTCCTTGTTATGAAAATCTTAGTTACTTAATGAGCACTTCTTCCAGTTGTCTGGTAGAGTTACAGGTTTCTCTAGATTTTAGTTGCCTATGATAAAAATGGCAAAGGTAGTGGGAAAGGTACTGAAGGCAAATTTTTCTCTATTTGACCTGAAAGTTGTCAGTTTTATGTGGAAAACTGTCCAGCTTGTACTGAGTTTCATGTTTTTATGATGTTTGTCAGTATAACATTTGACGTGCCCAAATACTATTTTTGTCAAAATTTGGTTACTGATGAGGCACAGTATTTTTTTTTTTTTAAGATTTATTTATTTGCGCATACAGAACTGGGGTACAGGCCAGAGGCTCAGGGGTGGTGAGAGGCTTCACCAGACACAGAGCGGGGAGCAGAACAGGCAGATCGACGAAGTACACTGCTGAGGGGAGCAGCGGGCAGGTCAGGAGAGGTCTGCCACGCCATGTGGCCACCTCCGGGGCAGGCGGGAATCGAACTCATGTGGAAGTGGCTTTGGTTTCTCAGTGCTGTGCTTTAACCCGCTGCGCCACCAGGGAGGGCCAGGCACAGTATTTTTTGTCTTAAAGTCTTTGTCTTTAAGGTCTTAAGCCAATAAATGATCTTTAATAAGTGTTGATTTCTCTATAATCTTAGAAAGCCTTGGGAAGAAATAAAAGCACTTAATTAACTGATATGTTGAAGATCCTGTAAAAAGTTGAACAAGCACAAACTCTTTTCTTTTATTTGTTTTATTTTTTATTTATTTATGATACAGAACTGGGGTACAGGTCAGAGATGCAAGGGGGTGAGAGGATTCACCAGAGACAGAGTGGGGAGCAGAACAGGCAGATGGACAAAGTACACTGCTGAGGGGAGCAGCAGGCGGGTCAGGAGAGGTCTGCCGGGCCATGTGGGTCCCTTCTGGGGTAGGCGGGGATCGAACTCATGCTGAAGTGGCTTTAGCTTCTTAGTGCTGTGCTTTAACCCACTGCCCCACCAGCAAGGGCCCCACAAACTCTTTGCACTCCCATTTTTATATTCCTTTTGTGTGCTTAGGCTAAAAAAAACCTTGTTAGTTGGAGGATACCTAAAGTTATAGTGTTTTTTCTTTTTTCTTTTATTGCATTTGTTTTTCTTATTCTTCCCTGGTTGATTTTCTCCCAGAAATTCCTATTACTTTTCCTTCTTACTACAGCCACAATTAGTGTGACTTTGGGAGAATTTCTTAATCTGAGTCTCAATTTCCTCATCTGCAAAATGGGAATAAAAATACCTATCACCTTTGTGGAGGTATCATCTTGAAAATAAAATGCGATACTGCATTAAAGTTCCCCCAGACATTACCTGCCACATTGCAATTACTGGGGATATTTTTTAAAAAATAATATAATAGTTTATTTTTACATCATTTTGTGCCTTTTTTCCATCTCAGTTGTAATCCCCGTGGGCTTCCCATCACCAAATCACCTGTGTGCCATCACCATAGTCCAGTGCACTGCCCCCCCTCCCACCCCCCTTTTTTGATCCCATTCCCTACTCCACCTACTGGGGAAATTTTTAAAAAATTTATGGTGATAATGATACTAGTTGCTACTATTTTTTTCCCCTTTTCTTTATCTCATTCTCAATTGTTTTCTGGGGTGAGAACTCAGAACATTCTACTGTTCTCTTGAGCTATGCTCCATCTTTACATTAAGACTATTAGAACCACCTTCACATTCAAGGAATATGGAAATATCTACCCTCTTATGATTCTTTTAAATGTAGCCACATGCCCATAGCTTTTCCTCTCCAAAGTTCTACACTTTGTTCCTCTTAGTGACTTGTGCATTATACACATTTTATAGATGTGTATTAATATATTCTTTCCAAATTCTAGCGTCCCCATTCTTTCCATTTCCTACTGTTGCAGATTTAATGAAAACCGACAGCCTTCCAAAGCAGGCTCTTTATTATGATGTTGTAGTTCTGTTCTAGATATAACCTCTTAAACTTTCTATATAAAAATTATAACCATCTTCTCTGATTCTTGCTAAGGTATTTTCAAGGTATTTCTTGCTCAGGTTCAACTGTGTGCTTATTTTTCTCCAGGAGATGATTCTTTTTCTTTTTCTAAATGTGGATGAATTCAGGTTCAAGTTTAGGGTTAGATGTTAGGGTTAGGATTTGGGTGAGGTGTATGGCTAGGTTTAAAGCTTAGGTTAGAGTTATATGTTCAAGGTTAAGTGTTAGGGTTAGGTGGTGGGATAGGGTTAGAATATCGGTGAATTCAGGTCAGGAATTGAAGCTCTTATTACAAGGTATTTAATCATTTGATACATTGATAGTTCTGCAGATTCAGAATCTGGGTGAGAGTACTGAGAATAAGATACACTTAGGAGATAATAATAATAAGTATGGCATTCTGTAGTAAAGGATAGACTATTTAATGAAATGCTTAAGTTAAATAAAAATTTGACAGCAATCCTGCCTCAATTTATTTCATTATTTTCTTTAATTACCGATAAATAGCAGACTTAAAATTAAGGAAAAATTAAGAACTACAGTGGAAAAAAGTTCATTTTAGGCATCTAATATTTATCACAGTGACTATAATTTACTTTTTCCTACTGACATAAGTTTTTAACAGCCCACACTAATAGAGCAATGAAAAAATTGCCCTCAAGAGGTTGAAAATAAGAGCACTCAAGTAACAGGTGTTCTTTTTGAGATTATTCTAAGCATTTAGAATATAGCACTTTAAACATTAATAAAAAGTGTGAGATGATATTTTTGTTAGTGTTGATAATGATGATACAGGTGTTTGATGGGCTTTGGCTCTGGAAGGCAGCCAGAGTGTTTTGTTAGGTGAACTGAGAAGAGGAAAGGTGATGACGCAGAAGGGTTGCAGCTGTGCCAGCCTTCCAGCCTGATCTGTTTACACAACAGATTCATGCATTCATTAGTGCCAGTAAATATACCCTGGGCCCTCCCTGGTGGCGCAGTGGGTTAAAGCACAGCACTGAGAATCTAAAGCTGCTTCCACATGAGTTCGATTCCCGCCTGCCCCGGAGGTGACCACATGGCGAGGCAGACCTCTCCTGGCCCGCCCGCTGCTCCCCTCAGCAGTGTGCCTCGTCGATCTGCCTGTTCTGTTCCCCACTCTGTCTCTGGTGAAGCCTCTCGCCGCCCCTGAGCCTCTGGCCTGTACCCCAGTTCTGTATGCACAAATAAATAAATCTTTAAAAAAAAAAATACACTGGGGGCCCTGCTCCTAGGGTCCTGGTAGGAGCCCTGTAGGTGTACTTAGGTAGGAGGATACACTGCTTGTCTTCCGTGTGCTTACAGTTGAAGGGATATAATAGACAAACAACTGATACTAAGGGATATAATAGACAAACAACTGTCCTTAATAAATGACACAAACTGAATGACATTCGTCTCAGAGGAGAATGGAATTACATTGACTAGGCTCATGATGGAAGACTTCATGAAAGACATGCCACTAAAGTGGGATAAAGCACTAGGTTTGTTAGAGGTGGTTGTCATGAATGAGCATAAGATGTAGGTATAGGGCAGCAGATAGATATAGGATGTAGGTTTCAGACAGCAAATGATTTAATTTGGCCAAAGAACTGCATATGCCATAAAGTAGATATGCAAAAGTAATGGAAGGGCACAGGATAGAAGACTTTGAATGCTAACTAAACCATTTGAACGTCACTAACAGTAGGTCATGGGGCCTTAAAACATTGTAGCATGACCAGCTTAGTGTTTTGGGTAACCTGGTGGCAGAGATTGAGTGCACTGAACAAGAGGAAACTTAAACTGTGAAAAGAATTAGGATCCGGTTAATGGTCTGGTGGAGCCACAGTGAGCAATGGGCAGTGGGGATGAAGGCCATGTCCTGCAGGCGTGGGTTTGGGTTAGGAGGGAGGCACGTCAGTGATGACTCAGATTCTAAACCTCTGCGATATGGAGAAGGATAATGACATTATCAAAAACAGGAAGAGAAACTGGGTAAGGAGAGCTTTTAAGTACAGTTGAGTCCATAATTTGTGGAGCTCAG